CTTGAGTTTGTTCAGGTGGAGAGGTGACCATTGCCTCAATCCTTCAAAATTTTCTAACAATCACTGAAATGGGTTGAGGCAGTGCCGATGACATTCAGAAGCAGTGCGGATGATATCGAGCATAATGCAGGGCTCCATTATGCATGACTGATCGTAACCAATTCTGGGTATACAGCCTATGAACTTGACACAATGCATCCTCAAAAATTGACATTTTTTGGTCATTCAGCCTCTATCCTTCCAAAATTCTCCAAACCACCTAGAGGACTTTGGAGAATTGAGGAGAGTTACAGTTAAAGTGGTGACCAATTTTCTACAAATGGCAAATATCACGAAAAATTTTTGTCAAGGGAAATAGAATTACATATTTTCTATATTTTAAGAAACATGAAAAAATACACGCACATAAAAATGTACAATCGGTACATTTTTCTTCTCCATGTGTCCTATGTATGTGCACACAAGTTTGTAAAATCCGTTTATTTCTGAAAATTGCAGCAAAAGCAAATGTTGTATATTAGTTAACCTTCCTTTTGTTTGCTCATAGTCCATAGTCAAAAATTCAATCCTGTGTATACGCAGGCTAGTCACTGACTGTCAGATCATATTTTCTATAGGCACTGTGACCATGCAGTCAAATTCCATCAACAGACAAAAGCAGGTGACTGGTAGGCACAGCTGGCTTATCAATCACCTACAGTCAAAGCATAGCTATATCAGCAGGTTTCATCACAGCCAGTCAATCCTGCTTTATGAAGGCAGGGAGCACTCAACTGTTAAAAGCAGTCACTTGATTTATTATGACTGCTGGCCACGCCCTGTTGAAATTGCCAGCCAGAGAGAGAGGGTTAAAAATGCGGTCACAATATATTAAAAAAAGAACAAAACAACCTAAAAACAAAAAAACCCAATCCGCTAGAAAAAAAGTTCTTTTTTAGAAAAAAAGTGTTTTTTTGTAGACATGTTATACCGGTAGTAGTGCTGCAGCCGAACTGCCGAACTGCCGAACCGAACTAAAAATAGCCGAACTTGGCCTTCCGAACCATTCAGCCTCTATCCTTCCAAAATTCTCCAAACCACCTAGAGGACTTTGGAGAATTGAGGAGAGTTACAGTTAAAGTGGTGACCAATTTTCTACAAATGGCAAATATCACGAAAAATTTTTGTCAAGGGAAATAGAATTACATATTTTCTATATTTTAAGAAACATGAAAAAATACACGCACATAAAAATGTACAATCGGTACATTTTTCTTCTCCATGTGTCCTATGTATGTGCACACAAGTTTGTAAGACATTTGAATGCCTAGCGTCCAATATTACGGGCAGTTCATACGTCATGCTACTGTGAAGGCAAAGCGAATTAGAAATCACGAAACATTTGCTGCGAAATTTGCCGGAGTTGAAATGTGTTCGACTTTTGCGAATTCGCAGCGCGAATACTTGCTGTGACATCATAACTTCGCATTTGCATTCACGTTCGCGTCGAGTATGAACCATTTACACATCAAAAAATAAACAAACCAATAACACAAGCAAAAGAAAAAGCAAATGAGGAATAATGTTTTGGCCAATTTGGGACTAGTACAGCCTAATAATCAATGTTTTTTTTTTTAAGTTGAACTGTATTGGGCAACAGTCAAGTGAATTTCCAATATCATACTGACAGAGTTATACCACAACAGCTTCGTCTTCGACAATTATTTTCTTCGTCTGACTGTTTTACCAATTTCAACACTCCAAACTTTCCTTTTGAACACTGGAGACCCGACAAATCGATAATGTGAACCACCGACACCCAGCTTTGCCCCAAAGCATCATGGGTATAAGCTGTCCGTGCAGAAAGGTGTTTGGGCCAGTAAATGCCAGGGAAGCTGCTCAAGCGGGTCCATGCCTGATAAGACACTTCTCATAAACTGGGCCGTCGAGTGCGTATCACGATCATCACGATCATCACGATCATCCAAACAGGATGTTGTGAGCTCAGGTCTGCACAAATGTCCTCCGTTAAAGTTGTGTCATATCGCAGGGATATGTTCAGATAAAGACCATTTTAAAATACCAGAATGACAAGAGCGAATCACATCAATCAAAACGATGCAGTGTTTACACGTACATGAGCAAGTGAGCAGATTTCATTGGTAAAAGTTGAGTTGTATTGCTGTTCAGCGATAAGGAACTTTACAAAATACCACTAAAGCCATGTGTGCATCACTAGAGGGAGGGGGGGGGGGGGTGGGGACACATCACTAGAGGGAGGGGGTGGGGACACATCACTAGAGGGAGGGGGGTGGGAACACATCACTAGAGGGAAGGGGGTGGGGACACATCACTAGAGGGAGGGGGGTGGGAACACATCACTAGAGGGAGGGGGGTGGGGACACATCACTAGAGGGAGAGGGGGTGTTGCAATTACCCACATTAATATTCTTGTTTGGCAAACTTGTTGTCCTGTTGGTAAAATGTTGTGCTTCTTTGCGTGTATGCTGCCGTGAATAATCGTCCACTTTGAACAGTGCCCCAATAGTCAGGTGATATATCCCCCCTCCCTTGATTGGGAAAAAAACTCCTCATTACTTCCACTTTTTGAAAGAAAATTACCCATTTGGAATCCCCCCCCCACCAAAACCTTGATATGCTACTGCATCGTATAGTGTAAGTCATTTTTGCGACGGTGTATATCATGCTCACGTGCATGCCGCATGCGTTCTTTAAGACGAGACGCGCACACATCTTCATAATCCTATTGGTCGAACGAGGCAGGAGTGTGCGTATACTACCTCAGCGCAACTTACGCAAGCCTTAGTGCCACCACAGAAAATGGCTGTTGCAGAGTTAGTCTATATGAGCTATCCTACAACTGTTGTTGGTTGAAGTTGCGTCGTGTCACTAGCAATTAGGAACAAGTCGAGGCATGTATCATGCTACCCCAAATATAAGGTTATGGCTGATCACTCGCCGACAGATGGCAATAACACATACATGTACTTATATTGAAGCTGCCAAATCCACTTCCCACATAGTTCCCACAGAGATCTTAAAGGGACACTGGGTCCTGGAACAGCCCAATTGGGCTACAAAACGCGCTTTGAACGAGATGATGTTAATCGGAAATAACATTTAAAAGTAGGATATAAACATCCACACAACTATCCTTTCAAAACTGGGTGTTTTTTGTGTTATTCCTGTATTATGCGTGCGAGAACGAATTTCGGGGTCCACTTTTGCGACCCCATAAATTCGAGCTGTTTGGATGCTAGTTGTGATTTCATTCGTAAAGTGTTCGCCTTTTTGGACGTTGAAGAAACCACTTTTTTTGCATTGGTGATTGGTCACCGCTGTTCCCGAAACACACAATGTGTATATCGTACACTGTGAACAACACGAAAAACGTATTCATACTCCGTCGTGTCCGATGTAAACAAGCAGGTTTTTTTCCGTCTTTTCTCAGGAACGGTAAGACATTAGGTTGGTTTCCTTACAACCAGATGTTTGAAATAGGCTAAGTAAACAATCCAAAACATGAAATTTTCGGGGATTTCAGGACCTAGTGCCCCTTTTCCAGGGGATTTCCAGGACAAAATGAGGGCTTTCTATGACCAATTCCTAGCTGTTTTGGCATCTTAGGAGCTTACTTACATGTTGTATAATACACCGGAGAGTCATCACACTGAAAAATAAAGGTCTGTGCACCATGTGTTAAAATTATCATCACCAAGATGGCCGCCACTTCCCCCTCACAGCCATCCGATCATCATCCTCCTACTCTGTCATGTTTCTCAAGTGTCACCAAACACTTATTAGGCATCTTGTCACCATCTTCTTAGCTCGAGTACAGCATACATGCTTAAAAGATGAAGTGCAATGAACTGGGGTGCAAACCGGAAGACTGCCATATCCAAATATTATGCATCATGTCGGATGATCAGTCTGTGACTTGTCCATGACTTTTTTCTTGGAATATCAACTTTCCATGACTCTTTGTAAACTTTCAAACTTCCATGGCTTTCCATGATAGCTTAACTGGGCATTACTGACTGAAATCCCTGAAAATTTTATGTTTTGGATTGTTTACTTATCCTATTTCAAAGGTCTGGTTGAAAGGAAACTAACTGTTCCCGAGAAAAGACGGGAAAAACCTGGTTGTTTACATCGGACGCGGCAGACATTTTGCGGCATACGCATACGTATTTCCAGCCGTGTCTACTCAATGTACGGTACACGTTGAATGTGTGTCACATAATACAAACAGCAACAATACACAAATGTTGTTTCTCGTACGTCTCCAGAATGCGATGAACTGTGCGGTAGGATTCACACTAGCACCCAGCAGTTTGATTTTTGAGAGTCAAAATTTTGACCCCCGAAATTCGTTCTCGCATGGTTCTCGCAAGGATAACACAAAAACGCCCAGTTTTTAAAGGATGGTTGTGTGGATGTTTATATCCTTCTTTTAAATGCTCTTTCCAATTAACATCGTTTCATTTAAAACACATTTTGTAGCCCAATTGGGTACAATCCAGGACGTAAAATATATCCCTTTAAACTATAGGATTCTCCCGGATTTTCCCATGATTCAGGTATGCAACTGGGAATTTAGAAAAAAAACGAGGAAACTCCAAACCACACAAGACTTTGTACAGTCTTTTTTCAATTTGTAATGGCATTCATGAGAAGTAATAAAACGAGGAAATCAGCGGATCCATGAAAAGTTGCATACCTGAAGATTGCGGGAACCCTGGGGTGCGTTTTGGCGGTCATAACCAAAAACTGGTTCTGTTGTTTCTCTTTAATAGTTAATTATTTTTGGGGTTTGAGTATTGCATTATCGTCAGTAATTCTCGTCCTTTTAAAATTCCCGAAGAAATTCACCTACAAGAAACAACCGAACCAATTCTTGGTTATGACCGCCAAAACGCACCCCTGGCTGTGTTCATACCACCACCGCCCTTGGACTCATTTCACAGGAACTAATCACATTGCTTCTAAGACGGACTTACCATGTTGTGAACTCTACCCGACACCACGACCAGACACCAGGCAATCAGCAGCCGCAGGACGTATTGGAGGGGGCCTGGCCGGGATCCGTGGGCGTGATGGTGGTGGCCGGTCGCATGCTCTGATCCGTGTCGATGCTCTCCGACATCTTGTCGCAGATGATATCTACCAGTCGCTCAAACGTCTGCTTGACGTTGATGTTCTCCTTGGCACTCGTCTCAAAGAATTCCAACCCTGAAAGGGAGGAAAATTATTTAAAAAGTTGAAATTATTAAAGTTAATCACTAAAATTTACCCTATGTTGTATTGAACTTTCTCTGGAGTACTCACAAGAATACCTGTGCACTTACTTACACTCATGCTAATTGCAAGTACTCCTACTCGTACAGGGCGAGTACAAAACAAGGAAACCCAAATGGCCCCCCCCTTTTTTTAAAAAGAAGTTCTGCATGTAGCATTTTCTTGATCTAGGATGTGAAAGCCCGATTAATAAGCTTTATTTTAGTTAAAGAATCATTCATATCGCTCATGTACGTTTCCAGTTTGGACTTTTAAACACAAATACAATTTGAAAATTTTGTTCATGGATCACAATAATGGTAAGTGATATTTCAGCGAAACGAAAACAATTCACTTATTAAAAAAAACACATCAGAACACTCTCATAACCATGATAAGTGGCCGTTATCATATTTATGCACCTTTTGCTCCCAATGTTAAAACAACATGCTTTATAAGGCCAAAAAAAAAAATATTTGGTCTCTGGTCAGACCAAAGTTCCGGAATTGATGCGGCCACGCGGCTTTTTTTTTTTTTTTTTTTCTTTTTTTTTTCTTCTTCAAGCTTGGATTGTACAGACAAGGTGGGGTACTATTTTGCTTTTTTGGTGTCCTCATGTACATATTGGTGTCCTCCATAATTTGCCTTGGTGCTTTCGATCATTTGCCTTGGTGCAATTTCCCATTCCTTGGTGCTCTTTGGTAAAAAAATTTGAGGAGGTGCGGAAATAGAGGGCGCTGTTGGAGCTACCGCGGAACATTTTGGAAAAAAAAAAGATGGACGCGCATGATTAAAATCGACGCGCGCGCTGACCAGAGACCGACTTATTTTTTTTTTTGGCCTAATGTCAAGAGTTTCTAGTCTTGCCCTGCCTTCTACTTGGCTACCCGGAGACTAATGCGATTATTCTGATATCGTTTTCATGATACGACATGGTTTCATTTTACTGAAATATCACGTACCTTAAATGTGATCCGTGGACAAATTATATTGAAACTGTGTTTGTGTTCATAATTCCGTAACCGGAAAAGTACACGAGTGATTTGAATGATTCTTTTACTAAAAGAAAGCTTATTAATTGGGCTTTCATATCCTAGATCTGAAAAGTGCTACATGCAGAACTTCTTTTAAAAAATAGGGGGTGCCATTTGGGTTTATACACAGGCCGATATTAATTTGTCTGTGTCTCATTCAAAAGAGAATAACTTCTGTATCGCTAGAAAAATAGCACTTTAGTAAAGGAATGTACCGTATTTTTTGGGGATGAAACTCGAAAATAGCACAAGGAATGATCTTTAAACTTCTCAGCAATTTTGTAAATGTATTTTTACTTTCTCAGCCTTTCTCAGCCATCTCAACCTTAATCCAAAAAAATCTGGTTGTTGATCGGCACGCTGTCCTTTAAGTGGCTACCTCTAGCTTTTTTTTTTTTAGAGATGAGTTTCCAGATTATTGGCGAGATGTTCCAGTTTTGCCAATCATGTGCTACAATCATGATTTCAAACTCGGATTTCAGGTAACCGACCTCCCCAGGGCAAGACGCGGGAGTAAGACAAGAGTTATGATTTCCCGTCTGATTAAGAAATGGAAAATGAAATGTGAAGCACAGCTGCCATTCGCGTGAACAGGTACATGTACGCCACCTGAGAACATGTTGTTCGCTGAACGCAGTGATGCAGATGTCCTAGGGGCATCAATATCTGTGGCGTGGCCAATTTTGCTGGTCTGCTCGGAATATAGAAATACGGGTGCTAGCTCTGAACACTCAAATATGAATGGAACTCGAGTGGTTTCCATTTCAGGTTTCTAATCTTTCAGTTAGAAATTATTCCTTTTTTTTTTCAACAGATCACGAAGAAACAGTAACCCAACAGCGCCCACATACGCATAAAAAAATTATATTAAAACAGTCATACTTATGTGTTTCTGTACAAAAAGAGTTCAAATGACGTGCACGAGCTGGTTCACGGTTCACTGTCCTCAACCCCCCCCCCCCCTAAGCTTCCCCCCTCCCCCCGATATCCTGTGGAGGGTCAGCCCGCAAAGTTTGAGAGGACATTGTCACTTTTGCCCCTCCTTTTTCTCAGATTTCCCTCGCTTGGCGTGATAAGAAGATAGCCCGTGATTCGAGCATCAGAGATTGACCACCAAAAAAAATAAGCCGTACAATATGATATGGCCTGTATTCAAATGGATTCCATTGTAGTCGATACTCCTTCGCGGTTCTGTGTGGGAGGCAATCATACAAGGCGAAAATATGGAAAGATGGCACTCGACGATCAATTTCCCACTCAAATTTACCCTGACACGGGTGTCACGTTCACTCAAACCCTCTGTGGGTGCGTTGGGAACAAAAGGCTGAATTTTTTACCCTTTTTTGAGTGTCACCTCCCCCCCCCCCCCACGAGAAATTTTGTTTGCTATTCCTAGAAAGGTTAACGTGGGTGAATTAGGTCCTTCGTGGACTGCCACGACCTATCATTGGATATAATCCTACTTGACAGAGTTGTGCGCAGGGGAATTGAAAGGCCCTTGAGTAAAGTCACGGTTTTCAGTTCTGTCATTCACTTACTAGAGTCAATTTTTCATGAAAACTTTCATCGTTAATTAGCATGAAGGAGATTACATTTATTATGGCACTCTCCATCATTTTTATTACAAAAAGTCTATAAAAAAAGAAGAATTTCCTAAAATACATACATACATGTGTGTGTTCAAGGAAGAATAACTGACAACATCACTTTTGAAAAAAAAAGGGAAAAATCACAAGATGAAAAAATAATCTTCTTGATATAACATTTTAACAGCATACAGGATCATGTGATTTTCATGCATTTTGCTCGTTTCCAAAAATAACACCACCCAAAATCCAAAGAAAGATGTTTAGAACCTACAGTGTAAAACCTGTTGAAGTTTCAGCTCGGTATTTTGGAATCGACGCACACGCATATCAAAGCCCAGGATTCACGAATCGTTCCCGCATGTAGTGACATACCGTATACGGCCAATAAGCCAATTGCAAGTGGCCTATTCCCTTTGGCATTTAAATTTGAAAAATGTCTGGTACACTGACTTGCTCAGAATGCTTGGCTGACATTTTAACTTTGAATTCTCCAGACCAAAGACACTGTTGCTAATCACATGATTTGGGGCAAGGTCTTGCATAGTTACGTAAGAGACGCTCAGCATCAATACATTGTTCACAATGGGTGAGAATGGCACAAAGACACCAGACCATGCCGGAGCTGGGGTTGCTAGCATAAGGCTTGCCCCGAATCGCGTGATATAGTAACAGTCTCTTTGGTCGGCAGAATGCAAGTTAAAACGTGCAAAGCATTGGGTTAAGTCAGCATTCCAGATTTTATTCAAATTTAACTCGCAAATGGCTAATTACAGACTTGATTTCAAGTCTCGGTTTGAACCTGCGACCTCCGGATTACAGTTCTGGAGATTGCCGGATCAAACCCCGCTCCAGTCAATTTGTTTGTTCCACTTTCAAAATTATTATAATGCACCTAGTCATTTTTCCCTCATTTAAAAAAAAAAAAATTCTACGTGGTTGCAACTTACATTATCATTATTGCACCCTACACATTTTAAATTTTCTATTCTTTGTGAAACGGTTTTCCCAACAAAATTGCCAAACTTTTGAACTCCTAAAAAAAATAGCCTTAATTATTAGCTTAAATAATTGTATTGCTCCCCGCCACTACCCCTAAAAAGGCGAGTCAGTCAGGTCATATCGCAGTCGTACGTACAGCTCCGTTATCACAGAAGCACACCTTCGAAAAACCCTGCGAGTGTCGTAATGCTACACTGGGCAAAGACGAAGAACAAACATGCAAATATCAGGCCCCTGCGCCCACCCTACCCTGCATTCCAGACTTATCAATGCACTTATCATGCCCACTGATGCCCTTACACTCCCATCTCTGAAATTGCTCGGCAACGTCACGCCCCAATTATTTATTTTTCCCCAGTGGCAAGGGACTCCTTTTTTTCCTTTTAGATAAGTGCACATGTATGTGCTGGCTGTTCAAGTATGATATCATGGCCAACAGAAGGAGGTTTTTTTTTGGAATGGTTATCGATTGAATTGCCAAGAACAGGAGAATATTGAACCCTAACCCTGCTGAATACAACAGGATCCAACTATGTCACATATACCCGATGGAGCCTGTTGGATTGAGCAGTAAACCCATTGTGTACATTCCTCATGAAAATGTTGGATTCAGCAGGCAACTGAACCGCATTATAACGCCATGTTGAACTCCGTTGGATTCAGCAGAAAACTGAAAATGAGGCACAGTGGATTGAACGGGAAAGTCCGGTTGGACTCTGTTGGATTTAGCAGGGTAGTCCTGAGCAAGTACTAGTATAGGGGGTTATTACAAGGAATTTATAACTTTGTTACTGATGACCAATTTGAAATGACTTTTAACTCAAATGCATTTTTAAATCAGCCATTTGTGTGAATTGTTCCTATAGCCAGGAACATTTGATGAGTTTCAGAATGACAAAAAAAGGGAGAACAAATATGGCCGCTGTGTTCTTGTATTTCCCATGCTCTTTTTGTATTTCATACTGAAACATAGATTCCTTTTCTAAATTGCTATTTTTGATAGCAATACGAAAGTTATTCACTTTTGAATGTGACATCGATTGAAAAAATATGCCCATGTTTTGTTAAGGGAATAAATGTGAGCATTTAATCACTCTGTTTAAAGACTGCTTGGAGTCTGGGTGCTGATGATTAACTGAGACGAAGGCGAGGATTTCTAGGAGTCCAAATTTCATGTGACACTCAATAGTGTTTAAGACCAGCTAGCCATGTCTTTATCATTTGTTTAAGACCGGCCACGTGACGGCTCTCGACCGTTAGGAATGGGTAAACTGTCTGAGGTATTTATGAATATTGAATGATTACTTTACAAAGTTTCAATTACTTGCGGCCC